TGTTCTTGTCCCAGAAAACACGGTTGGAGGGCTCTCCACGTGGCAGCTTTTGCTCTGGTGAATAAGCGAGCCATCAGGAAGTTCTCTCACCCCCACTGATGAAGGCGCCATTACCACGGGAGCAAGAACCAGAAGCGGCCATGGTACCTAATTCCTCCTCCTGAGCTGGTTTAGTGGCAAATGAAGCAGTAACTCTTGTATCTCTGTGCACCCAAGAACCCTGGAGCAATTGCTTAGATGGCTGGCAGCTGGACTCTACCCTGGGGTGCGACAGCATTCTTGTCTCCTGAGTCTAGACTTCCCTTAAAGAAGACAATCCTGATACGGTTCCCTCATCCCTAAAATCCTGCGGAGAAACAGCCGAGAAGGTGGCCTCATTCTCTGCCTCTTCCCTTGCCTGCATCTGTAACTAGGACCTGTGCTGGAGGTGGGCACGGAGCGTGCACTCTTAGCCACGGTTGGGCCCAAATGACCTGACGGCCTCAGGCTGTCTCGTCTTGTACTCTCCCTTCTTGGTCTGGTGGAGAACTTTTCCAACCCAAAGATAAGATCAACATGAGACGAGCTGAAAGCCCACAGGGAAGCAAAGACTTACAGATATAAAAAATTCCCCATCGCCTTGAGATGGGAATATTAGGCACTGTATATTATTTGGGGATCTCTCATTAAAATAATCCAAAAGGTACCATAGATACTGTGAAAGGGAAAGAAACTGTTCAAAGGGAAGTAACAACTGGGAGGAGGGAAAGGAGAAAAGAAAGAAGGAAGGAGGAAATAGATATGCACATACACAGGAGGATGCCTCGGGTAATTGTATTGCTGATTTGTACTGGTTTATTGAAAGGAACAGATAATGCTTAATTTTTTTTCTCTTTTGAATTTTTTTTTTACCAATTTTGCACATTTTTCTCTGGTAATCTGACCAACTAATTTGAAGACAACAACATGCAACATAACCATCATGATTGAATTCCTATGATCTTGTTTAGTGAAATGGTGTATCATTTCTAATGTTTTTTTTTTTTTTACTATTATTAATTCTCTTTTAAAAATAAAAATAAAATGAGAATTCATTGCAAGACGGGGAGATAGCCAGGTGGTCTCAGGCCTGCCTGGCAAGCATAAGGAAGCTCAAGCCCTGCCAGTCCTGGAACCTTACGCATGCCGAGCTGGCCACGGAACCTGGGCATGGTGGTGTGTGCCTGGAATCCCAGCCCTGGGGAAGCTGAGACAGGAGGATCACCGTGCGTCCTAGGTGGGTAGGGAGACTTTGTATCAAATAAATAATTTTTTAAAAAATCATTGAAAATGGTAGGCATTTTGAACTATGAATCATTAGACCTCAAAGATCACAACTTTTAGAAATACCTAAGTGGGTATTCTCAACATTTTGGGGGAGGAACTTATGCAACATAAAAATTTCAGAAAGTGAAGACAATACATGAAAAATTATACCAATAGTCATGCATCATTTCTAAATAAAGTTCTGAATCAAAACAAAACTGCATTTGTTTAATCCTTTATCTTCAATTTGAGCTCAGAAAACATAATTCAGGGATACTTAACTAATTTTAGAAACATATAACCAAGTTATTAATCAACACTTGGGTTTGTTGGGTTTCTGGAATCCATGGGAATGTATCGCTTATTTTAAGCAGCAAAGGACTAACCACACCCAACTCATAACCCCTGTTGTTTTTTGTTTGTTTGTTTGTTTTCTTTTTGTATTTAGGACAGGGCGTACAGGGTCTCACTGCGTAATCAGACTCATAGTGATCCTCCTGTTGACAGTCTCCCGAATGCTGCGATTACATGCGCACACCACCAAGCCCAGTCTCAATTGCCATCTCAGCACACCCCGGGGGCAGGGCCGGCACAGCAGTCCTGGGGATCGAACTCCCAGCCCCTGCGCCTGCTTGCAGGTGCTTTAATCCGTTGAGCTTTTTGGCCGGCCCTCTTCTCCTGAGTCTTAAGGAGCTCCACCTCAATCACTCACCAGAAACTGGTTTCTATGCTTTAGCTATAAAAATGAACCCCTAGTTTTCAGGGACTTAGTGAGGCTTTCAGAAGGTGGCTGGATCGTGGAGCTGCAGTACTCACCAGTAGATTAATCCAATGAGGTAGAAGGTCAAGCCTGGATGGAGAATGGATCTCGGGGAGCACAACTTGGGTGAATGTAGAGTTTTGCTAGAAAATCTTCACACTTCCACCAGCAGACTGTGGCGTGAACCTCTTGAAATTGTGAGTCATTACACTTCCCTTCTTTAGGTTGTGACCATCAGGCATCTGATCCCATTGACAAGAAAGTGGTTAGTAGATCCGCATCAGACTCAGAGACTGTAGTGGCCAAGATTCCCGCTCACAAGTCCTGGCCATGCACATTTGGATGGTCAATGGGATACAAGTTTCCATGGGTCATCTAAAGCAAGCTCCTCCTGGGGTTACATGACGTGAATAGATGTCACAAATTAGATTTTCATTCTCATTTCTTCATGCCCTCCCTGTACTGAGCATGCAAATTCATCCTTACTCCTGCTGTTGTGATTTGATAGTGCCTTCCTTCTGGCAGAGAAGGAAGAACGTGTTTCTCCAGCCACTGATGCCAACTTGGCCGTGGCGGAACCGGAATGGAGGTACACAGAGACTGTTTTACGCTAAAGGGTTCATGGCACAGGCTGTCCAGCTGGCCTCACTTGGAATTCTGCAGTACATTTCCAAGCAGTTGCTACTTCAAGCGTGCTGAGGAGTTCCGGGCAGATCAGGCTCCTGCAAGCTTGCACCATGCAGAGGAGCCCGGCAGAGCCCGGCCTGCCCCAGCCGAGTTCATGCACACCACAGCCAACCTGAACGCTTAAGAGCAAAGGGTAACAGTGCTCGCTAGAAGCCATTCCCTCCCCACATATAACACCTGCGCAGGGGTGTTTGATGCACACAACAGGTAAAGAAAATCACGCAGAGAGAAAGCTCAGTCAAGTATGTAGGTTTGATGTACAAAAATACATTTATTTTCAACAATTTCAAAACCACTGTCTTTTTTTACAGTAGAAATATTCAAATGGAACAATAAAACCAAGAACAGTATATGTACATATACTGTATATATAGATATGACTCATGCATTTGTATTCCAGGGTTTAGTACAAGTATTGCAATTGTCTGCTCCATTTAACCCTTGAAACAAAAACACGGTATCTTTAGAAATACTCTTCATACTGAACTATGCTGTGGCTGACCAGGTCTCTGTCACATTCTCCCTTTGTCTCACAAAGAGGGATGTCAATGACATCCCACAGGTACATAATGTGGCATATATATATATATATATATATATATATATATTACCATTCTTCAAAACAAGTGTGATCAGATAAACCCTAAAAATAAAAATAAAAACAATGCTCACTGTGTGGGCTTAAGAATCACTAATGAAAAGAACTGGGATGTTAAATATGTGGAAGGATGGAGGTGCTGGGAAAGCAAGTGTGGGCTTGGAAAGCCACTCGCCCCAGAGGCAATAACAGCCTGCAGGGAAGTGAAGGAGACGCTGGACAGTAAGGAGGTGGTGTACGGCTGACAGGCAAATAGCACAGCTTTGCTAAGGTCATCTTTGACTAATATGTGGAAAGGCTAGACCTCCCTTGGGCCTAAGGGGTTCGTGTAGACTCACACTCCACAAATGCCACCTTCCTTGCAACCTCTCAATGCCAAGAGCCACTGCCTGGACTCAGCCTTGGGCCTTGAGGACTTTCCAGGCTCAGGGAGGCTCACCATTTGCTGTGAGCATTGTACACTTCCATGTCTTTAGATCCACTGCCTTGCTAGAGCCAAGGACTTTTTTCAGTCTAATATTCTCAAAGCCTCTTCTTAGAGAGGAAGTTGCAGTTTAAAATATTCACTGCTGGACTTCATCTCCCAACATTCTGCAGCCACGCTTGAAAAAAAAAATGGCTCCCACGTCCCATGATGTCACTGAAATCCTTCCTTTGTCAAATGCCCCAAGAGCCCTCTCCCTGCCCCTCCCATTAGATACAAAATCAGAAACCAGCTGTGGCATGGATGTAGAAATGTGGTAGTTAAACGTGACAGACAGCTGCCGCATGTCCAGAGCCCAACCCATCAAGCAGGCCTGGGGTGGTCAGCTCGGAGCGGGAGTGCAAAAGCCAACACACGCATCGTTCTTTTTTCTGTTTTCTTTTTTACTAAACATTAAATTATTTCTTAGGAAATAAAAAGCTATTTACATTGTCATTATATACAGTAAGCCGTCTGCAGCCTCACTACTGACATGCATGAGGCAGAGCCTCTTTCAGCCTACCTCCCACAGCTCGAACTGGAAGATGATGTGCATTCTACACACATGGGCTGGGGCACGCCAAGAGACGGCTGGGGGTGGGGGTTAGGAGTTAACAAAATGGCACCCCAACTTAAAGTTTAAAAAATGAGTGGGGGAGGGAGGGGGAGGGAGCAGAGAGGA